AGCCACAGACGCATTGTTTAGTTGAGAATGACAAGTTCATACCAATCGTTACTGACACGGCTTTGTACGATGCAGGACATGTTCTTCAGGACCTTAACTCTGAGTTCTTAAACCCAGAGACGGAAAAGTTGCAGCATCCGTGTTTATCCAAACCTTCAGTTGTTTAGCAGTGCAAAAGCTTGATTGTAAGACTAGCTGTGGATTAGAATCTAAAGTGAATAAAAAGACAGTGGGCCTCATTCACGAATAACTACGTAAGAAACTACTCAACTTTCTTCTCAAGTTGTCCTTAAGTAGATTTCTAAGAAGTCCCCACGTGGGATTCATCAACGCACTCGTAAGGCGCTGAATTGTTCGCAGCTGTTCTCTCAGATTGATGAATCCCATTTCCTCGTAAGTACAGCGCGCGTGCCAGGTGCTTCATTACCATAGGTACTTAGCATAAGTAACCGCCCATTAATGCCCATATAAGGGACTGCAGGGCCGTGTGCAGACGGCTGAGGAAACAGCAACAGGCCTAAAGCAGGCTTTTGCCAGACTGAGAATAAAGTTATAAAATGTTGACTTAAAAGTCAAAATATTATGATAATAAAGTCGAACTAGCAAAATTATGAGATTAATCTAAGAATATGATGAGATTAATCTCAAAATGTTATGATCTTAATTTAAAAATATATTATGTATTATTTTAAAGATGAATCTCAAAATGTTTTGAGATTAATCTCAAAATATTTTGGACCCTGGGAGGAGATCCAGCGCGGACCAGCGCTGAGACCAATGCAGACCCGAGGAGAGACTGGAGTGACCAGCACACAGAAACCAGCGCGGACCTATAGGAGAGACCGCATAGACTGGAGTGACCTGACTGGAGAGACCGGTGCGCAGAGACCAGCGCGGACCGAAGATAGACCGCATAGACCAGACTTGAGAGACCAGCGCGGACCCGTAGGATCCAGGAGCATGCAGCACGGACCCGTATGGAGAGACCAGTGCAGACCCGTATATGGGAGAGACCAGCGCAGACCCGTATAGATCCATAGGAGAGACCAGTGCAGACCCGTATAGATCCATGGGAGACACCAGCGCAGACCCGTATAGATCCATGGGAGAGACCAGTGCAGACCCGTATAGATCCATGGGAGAGACCAGTGCAGACCCGTATAGATCCATGGGAGAGACCAGTGCAGACCCGTATAGATCCATGGGAGAGACCAGTGCAGACCCGTATAGATCCATGGGAGAGACCAGTGCAGACCCGTATAGATCCATAGGAGAGACCAGCGCAGAGACTCAGCGCCGGACCCAGTAACCTCCTGCAGCAGCAGTATATATGCCGTTGTTCTGTGGCCCGTGGATAAAGAAATGCCCCCTATAAATAGGAAGGGGTCACTAATACACGGCAAGATTTCCAATGTATTTGATAAAGCGTTGGCACATTTCATTTCAAAATGAATTAAAAAGTAGGCCAGATCTGCAGTGAAAAAGGCGGTATATAAATAAAGATTACTAATAAAGATTACTACAAATAAATAAATACATACATCGATATGACGGACATATCACTGGAATGTTGTATTTTTATTCAACTTCACCAAAGAGGACAACCCCGGCGTGTGAACATGTCGGCACTGAATGCGTACGAGTGCTCCTGAGGACTCGTAGGATTTGTACTTGCCCAAGAGAAATTCTGGTTACGAGAAATATTCGTGAATGCCACTTTCTTCGTAAAAACCGCGTAAGTAGGATTTACGTACAAATCTGTTCCTAAGAACCGTTCGTGAATGAGGCCCAGTGTCTTTAATTCAGACAGAATGTTTTATTGTCGATGGTAGAGGCATAAACAAAGACGTTACAGAATGTAAGTGACATACAGCGGAGGAACGGAGACTTTTTAGCATTATTAGCATGTTAGCATTTGCCGCGGTACCCTAACCCTTACCAAAACATGTAGTGGAAAAATTCTGCCTTGGGCATATTGTTAGAATGATGAGTTAGAACGTTCCCCGCAGTAGCTTCAAAGTGTCATGAAATATCCAAAAAAGTAAAAAAATACTCGGAAGAGTCGCATTTTCTTCATATATCAGCAGCAACTCCTGCTGGCCAGACCACCACTTCGTCAACTTCCGGTTGACGAAGTGGTGGTCTGCTGTAGTCCTGCTGCTCCAATCCTCACAGCTGCATACACACCTGGGTTCATCGTCATCAGCACCAGTACAAAAGGCTCTACAGACACTACAGTTTGTCGCTTCTTTGACCCTCGTCAGTCTTTTAGCACTTGGCTCTATCTCGACCATTGCATTTATGTATTACTCAACTTTTTCTCCTGTGTCTAGATCTGTTTTTTTACCCACTGTGCCTGCCTGCCACGAAGACTGCCTGCCCACCATTTACAATATACACGTTTTGTAAATAAATCTGTCCTTTTTGGATTCTACTGCCTCTGCATTTGGGTCCAATCTAGAACCGTGACATCATCCAATATCTATAGGGTTTCAACATGTTCTCTTGCCGCGTAAAATGTGCATTTCTGAATAGCATTGTCATTGGCTGCTAAAATATACACACAAAAATATACAACATTCTGTGTTTAAAGAATTATCACATTTTGGCCTTGTACTATAATGCTAAATGATATCTGGGGGTAATGAATTCAGACTTAAACAGATTTAAACATCCAAAAAAACATATTTTTGAATAGAATCTCATTTTCTGCATTATGTATTATCTTTAATTCCTTTTCTATTGGACCCAACTATGACAGCATGCCCACAGGTATTCCTCACCATCTGCCCTTCAGTTCACCACGACGCCGCCGCAGCTCTCCAAACGCCTGACCTGACTAACGGCTGTAATGACCACTGTTTGTGTTCCAGTGGTGGGAGGTGCAGATGACTGTGGGTGGACATTCATGGCCATATTTCGGTACAGAAATTATAATGAGAGTTGGGCTCAGAAAAGGTGTCAATGCTGCACTCTTTGGAGACAGGTTTGCTATAACGGGACAAAACAACACACTTCCTGGAGGAAGTGTGTGTGGATAGGGAAGTCTGGGCGTCTCTGCTTAGACTGCTGCCCCCGCGACCCGGCAACGGATAAAGCGGAAGAAAATGGATGGATGGATGGATGGATGGGACAAAACAACAGTTATTGGTTGAATATTTGTGTCATGAGTTATTGCACTGTGTTGTATGTTATTGCACTCACATCTGAAATGGAGAATTGCACATTCGCCGATCCGGACGAGGCTTAGTGAGTAGCGCTAATGGCTCACGGCAAGAAGGTCATGAGTTTGAGTCTCTTGTCGGCCTGGGACGTTGTGTAATTGTAACTTGTTTCTTTCGGGCAATCCAATTTCCCATTACTCAGGATGTGTTATTGTCCAAAACCTGCTTCGTAGGCAAAATCCTCCGGCCTCGGTTTTCCTGACCAAGCTGAGCATCAACAGTTGAAGATGTCTCCTCCAGGTGCTGCTCCTGGTTTCCCAAGTGGAAGAATTGAAATGCCAAAATATGAGGATGATTTTAGCTTAAATACGGCCAAAAAATGATCTGTATGAACTCATGAAGAAATGATATTCACTTCAATGTATACATGTAAGATTCTTATTGTAATGTTTATCTTCAAGTGATTTCCTCAATCAGACAAAGCCTCGCATGGATAACAAAGTGTATATTGACTCCATTGCAGATCTAATTACAGTAGTGTAATCAAAAGAAGCAGAAAAGGTGCTAATTTTCCAACAAGCTTTCTCCACAACACTTAGATTAAAGTTGTGAGTTGTTTTTTTTTTCTCTCTCGCTCTCTCTCGCTCTCACTTTGAGACAGAGACAAATGGCTGCCGGAAAGTGACCCTGTGGTGTGTTTAATAAATGAGATTAGACATTGATTAGCTGTGACCACAAACCAACAATAGTTTAATTAAATGACAGCCACTTTGGGCTGTGCATTATTCATGTAGAATGGGGTTCAGTGCATGTGCTCTGCAGAGAGAATGTGAGACTTGATGACATTATGTTTTGCAGAGAATGTTAATCAGTGGAATATCCCCAATAACGGGGACAACAACGTTTCTCAACTTCCATGCTTGTGTTTTGGTCATTTCAAAATAAAGAATAAGAAAGGTTTTATAATGAATGCACTCCAGCCAAGATTGTCCACATAACCTGTAAATATTAATGCTCGTAGTCACGCCTATCTCCGCTGTTGTAACTTAAGTACCACCACTTTGGCCTTTTCTGGCCTTTTTCAAACTGGCCATGGGGCAGGAAAATGTGAAAAAACGCATTTGTGCATGTGTTAGCCGGCAGTAGCCCCATGATCGAGTGCATTCAAAAGTCCACAGTGGCTAAACTAGACTGGTCCAAAAAAACATAGCATTGACGGCATCTGGAACATATCTTTGGTCCTAGAGCAACTTTTGGACCATCCTGTGAAGCCTTTATCGAGAGGAATGAAGGTGGCTTACATAAGCATTGGTAATTATCTTTCCGGGTACACCCCCACTGGCCCGGAGTGAGATTACAAGCCTGTCAGCGCACTTGCACATGGAGCTCTTTGAGCCGGGACCCGCCAACACTGATCATAACGTGGCAAATGAACCCGAAAATGATTATGTTTACTGTGTGTACCTCTTCTGTGTTTATTCCATCTCATTATTCCCCGGGTGGGAGTTAGGGTTAGCGTCTTCCTCCATATATGATTTTAAATTGTATTATAAAGAAAATCAACAAGCGCAAAAAAGGCTTTCCATGCTTCTAAATGATCTTTTCTTCACATTATGTTGACCAATTAGGAAATCATGCATGATTCCTAAAGTCACACCAAGCAACATATCTAGTCACACTAACGTACCTCGGCACAATGGTTGAAAACTGTTCTGGAGCCACTGCCGCACTCGTCCCTTGGGTGGCCTTCTGCTTTTTGCCTTCCTGAATATGTATGTGACTTATAGGTCCCATGGGAGCCTTTGGAGTGCATCGTGAATGGGTGGATGGGTGACACTATTCGGCTGCCTTTATCTGGGCCTGTGTGCCTCCTGATGTATCTGTGAACACCACTTGTTCCGATTGCCTCATCTATCACAGAGCACAGATATGAAAATGTGGAGAAGTGTGGAGAGCAGGCAGGCTCTTGCTAGTGTAATCATCATGTGGGAGGCCTGAAGGACTGGGGGCACTTCTTCAATGGGGTATTGGAGGTCCTTAAGAATAAAGAAATATGTATGTGTAGTTTCAGGCCCAAGCAGGTGAATGACCTCCTTAACGCCCCATAAGTCACTGTCACCGTTTTTATAAATATAGAAATGTGGGTTTCAGAAATCATTAGATATGACATTACTACTTCTTTCCTGGCAAAAAGAGCCTTTTTGACATTATTTAGTCCACACAGTTGCTGATTCAATTCTCATTTATTTATGGCACGTTCTGATGTGCGTGTGAAGTCAATTCAATGTATTTGTGTACAGCCCTAAACAAAACAAAAATATGTTTAGGGCTGCATACCAACAGTTGTTATGTCTTCGCCAACACAGATCAGAGAATCAAACAGGAAATGCGATGGAAAAAGAGCCATGGGTCCATAAGGGGCAGAAGACCAATGTCCATACACACCCTGGGGAATGACAGATGTCCAAAAGTGTCTTTGAAGGTCATTGACCATCACCGCAGTCCTTAGACCCTTCTGCATCGGCAAGGAAAATGTACTGGGAGAAAAGTGAGAACCCTCAGGGAACCCCACACTGAGGGAAAGATCTGCTCTCACGAACGGACAGGCTTTAGATCCAGGACTCCAGGCCAATGAACAAGGACAGAGACCACGCAACGCAGGACCGACTTGGCTCCAAGGCGGGAGGAGATGCAGCCCACGAGTCCAGGGGAAGGTGCCACAAGTCGTAATAATAATTATAATGCATCCTTTTTGTATGCAACACTTTTGGACACTTAATGGAATTATTCATTTACTGTGGACACAGTGGTGATAAACTACGACTGTAGCCACAGCTGCCCTGGGGAACACTGACAGAAGGAGGCAACCAGTCTGTGCCATCAGCCCTTCCGTCACACACCACTCATTCCAGGCAATGTCGGTAAAGTGTTTGAATGAATCTGAATCTGCTCTTGCATTGGGGACAGTGAGGGTTTGGCAGCCTGTAAAGTGCTTTTTTGACAATAAATAAAACATATATTCTATGTCCTGCCTCTTCATGTGACGCATTTTGTTAACAATAGCTTAATCCAAATTCTCTGCATAATGTGTTCAAGGACAAGGGCACTAATCGCCCACAATGTTGTTATGAAAGACACGACGTGCTCATGACCACGGTCAATGGTGAATGTCCTATAGAGACTTATTTATTAGCTGCCTTCAATAATGTGTGAAGGAGATTTCTAATTATATTAAGCATCATATCAGACATATGGAATTCATCCACACAAGATCATTTGTTGTTGTCTGTTGGTACATTGGCATTTAATAGGTTTGTCATTATTAAAACCTTTAGAGTCTCGCAGATTCATTACTGCAATGTTCATAGCCCTGTTGCTCATTTTTAAATTATAATCTGTGAATATCTCATTATATTAAACATGCAATGATACATTTCATATTGTTGTATCAGTTTTTTGTAGTCAGTGTGAGGTAGAATACAAAGAAAATGTGTTCCGTTACAGGATACTGAACACATGACCTTTTTTATAGTGTAGTCCGTTACATGAAGTTACTGTGTTCTGAAAACTTAGGATACATTTATTGGATCATTGCCTTTTATGGCTTTACTCATGAACAAATACACATTCTAGAAATATAACCTTGTTAATTTACACGCACAGATGCATGTACGAACACAGACATACAAGCACACATTTGCACGCACAAACACATTCACACACACGCACACACACATTCACACACACACATTCACACACACGCGCACACACACTCATTGGAAAGCTACGTTTAGCTAATGCTAGCTTAGTAGTTGCTGTGAAGGCTAATTTTTATTTATATTTATATGTTGTTTCCGTGTCCCGTACTGCCTGTAATGACGTGGTCTCTGATGATGCGGTCTCTGATGCGGTGGTCTCTGATGAAGCAGTCTCTGATGATGCGGTCTCTGATGTGGTCTCTGATGTGGTCTCTGAAGCGGTCTCTGATGAAGCGGTCTCTGATGCGGTGGTCTCTGATGAAGCGGTCTCTGATGCGGTGGTCTCTGATGAAGCAGTCTCTGATGCGGTGGTCTCTGATGAAGCAGTCTCTGATGAAGCAGTCTCTGATGAAGCAGTCTCTGATGCGGTGGTCTCTGATGCGGTGGTCTCTGATGAAGCAGTCTTCGATGAAGTGGTCTCTGATGCGGTGGTCTCTGATGCGGTGGTCTCTGATGAAGCGGTCTCTGATGAAGCAGTCTCTGATGAAGCAGTCTCTGATGATGTGGTCTCTGATGTGGTCTCTGAAGCGGTCTCTGATGAAGCGGTCTCTGATGCGGTGGTCTCTGATGAAGCGGTCTCTGATGCGGTGGTCTCTGATGAAGCAGTCTCTGATGAAGCAGTCTCTGATGAAGCAGTCTCTGATGCGGTGGTCTCTGATGCGGTGGTCTCTGATGAAGCAGTCTCTGATGAAGTGGTCTCTGATGCGGTGGTCTCTGATGCGGTGGTCTCTGATGCGGTGGTCTCTGATGAAGCGGTCTCTGATGAAGCAGTCTCTGATGAAGCAGTCTCTGATGCGGTGGTCTCTGATGCGGTGGTCTCTGATGCGGTGGTCTCTGATGCGGTGGTCTCTGATGAAGCGGTCTCTGATGAAGCAGTCTCTGATGCGGTGGTCTCTGATGAAGCAGTCTCTGATGAAGTGGTCTCTGATGCGGTCTCTGATGAAGCGGTCTTTGATGAAGCGGTCTCTGATGCGGCGGTCTCTGATGCGGCGGTCTCTGATGCGGTGGTCTCTGATGCGGTGGTCTCTGATGCGGTGGTCTCTGATGAAGCAGTCTCTGATGCGGTGGTCTCTGATGCGGTGGTCTGTGATGAAGCGGTCTCTGATGCGGCAGTCTCTGATGAAGCAGTCTCTGATGCGGTCTCTGATGAAGCGGTCTCTGATGAAGCGGTCTCTGATGAAGCGGTCTCTGATGAAGCGGTCTCTGATGCGGTGGTCTCTGATGAAGCGGTCTCTGATGCGGTGGTCTCTGATGAAGCAGTCTCTGATGAAGCGGTCTCTGATGCGGTGGTCTCTGATGAAGCGGTCTCTGATGCGGTGGTCTCTGATGAAGCGGTCTCTGATGCGGTGGTCTCTGATGAAGCAGTCTCTGATGAAGCAGTCTCTGATGAAGTGGTCTCTGATGCGGTGGTCTCTGATGCGGTGGTCTGTGATGAAGCGGTCTCTGATGCGGCAGTCTCTGATGAAGCGGTCTCTGATGCGGCAGTCTCTGATGAAGCGGTCTCTGATGCGGTGGTCTCTGATGCGGTGGTCTGTGATGAAGCGGTCTCTGATGCGGCAGTCTCTGATGAAGCGGTCTCTGATGAAGCAGTCTCTGATGAAGCAGTCTCTGATGAAGCAGTCTCTGATGCGGTGGTCTCTGATGCGGTGGTCTCTGATGAAGCAGTCTTCGATGAAGTGGTTCTGATGCGGTGGTCTCTGATGCGGTGGTCTCTGATGAAGCGGTCTCTGATGAAGCAGTCTCTGATGAAGCAGTCTCTGATGATGTGGTCTCTGATGTGGTCTCTGAAGCGGTCTCTGATGAAGCGGTCTCTGATGCGGTGGTCTCTGATGAAGCGGTCTCTGATGCGGTGGTCTCTGATGAAGCAGTCTCTGATGAAGCAGTCTCTGATGAAGCAGTCTCTGATGCGGTGGTCTCTGATGCGGTGGTCTCTGATGAAGCAGTCTCTGATGAAGTGGTCTCTGATGCGGTGGTCTCTGATGCGGTGGTCTCTGATGCGGTGGTCTCTGATGAAGCGGTCTCTGATGAAGCAGTCTCTGATGAAGCAGTCTCTGATGCGGTGGTCTCTGATGCGGTGGTCTCTGATGCGGTGGTCTCTGATGCGGTGGTCTCTGATGAAGCGGTCTCTGATGAAGCAGTCTCTGATGCGGTGGTCTCTGATGAAGCAGTCTCTGATGAAGTGGTCTCTGATGCGGTCTCTGATGAAGCGGTCTTTGATGAAGCGGTCTCTGATGCGGCGGTCTCTGATGCGGTGGTCTCTGATGCGGTGGTCTCTGATGAAGCAGTCTCTGATGCGGTGGTCTGTGATGAAGCGGTCTCTGATGCGGCAGTCTCTGATGAAGCGGTCTCTGATGCGGTCTCTGATGAAGCGGTCTCTGATGCGGTGGTCTCTGATGAAGCGGTCTCTGATGCGGTGGTCTCTGATGAAGCAGTCTCTGATGAAGCAGTCTCTGATGCGGTGGTCTCTGATGCGGTGGTCTCTGATGAAGCAGTCTCTGATGAAGTGGTCTCTGATGCGGTGGTCTCTGATGCGGTGGTCTCTGATGCGGTGGTCTCTGATGCGGTGGTCTCTGATGAAGCGGTCTCTGATGAAGCAGTCTCTGATGAAGCAGTCTCTGATGCGGTGGTCTCTGATGCGGTGGTCTCTGATGCGGTGGTCTCTGATGCGGTGGTCTCTGATGAAGCGGTCTCTGATGAAGCAGTCTCTGATGCGGTGGTCTCTGATGAAGCAGTCTCTGATGAAGTGGTCTCTGATGCGGTCTCTGATGAAGCGGTCTTTGATGAAGCGGTCTCTGATGCAGCGGTCTCTGATGCGGCGGTCTCTGATGCGGTGGTCTCTGATGCGGTGGTCTCTGATGAAGCAGTCTCTGATGCGGTGGTCTCTGATGCGGTGGTCTGTGATGAAGCGGTCTCTGATGCGGCAGTCTCTGATGAAGCGGTCTCTGATGCGGTCTCTGATGAAGCGGTCTCTGATGCGGTGGTCTCTGATGAAGCGGTCTCTGATGCGGTGGTCTCTGATGAAGCGGTCTCTGATGCGGTGGTCTCTGATGCGGTGGTCTCTGATGCGGTGGTCTCTGATGAAGCGGTCTCTGATGCGGTGGTCTCTGATGCGGTGGTCTCTGATGAAGCAGTCTCTGATGAAGCAGTCTCTGATGAAGTGGTCTCTGATGCGGTGGTCTCTGATGCGGTGGTCTGTGATGAAGCGGTCTCTGATGAAGTGGTCTCTGATGCGGCAGTCTCTGATGAAGCGGTCTCTGATGCGGCAGTCTCTGATGAAGCGGTCTCTGATGCGGTGGTCTCTGATGCGGTGGTCTGTGATGAAGCGGTCTCTGATGCGGCAGTCTCTGATGAAGCGGTCTTTGATGAAGCGGTCTCTGATGCGGCGGTCTCTGATGCGGTGGTCTCTGATGAAGCTGTCTCTGATGAAGCAGTCTCTGATGAAGCGGTCTCTGATGAAGCGGTCTCTGATGCGGCGGTCTCTGATGTGGTGGTCTCTGATGAAGCGGTCTCTGATGAAGCAGTCTCTGATGAAGCAGTCTCTGATGCGGTGGTCTCTGATGCGGTGGTCTCTGATGAAGCAGTCTCTGATGAAGCAGTCTCTGATGAAGCGGTCTCTGATGAAGCGGTCTCTGATGCGGCGGTCTCTGATGCGGTGGTCTCTGATGAAGCGGTCTCTGATGCGGTCTCTGATGCGGTCTCTGATGCGGTCTCTGATGCGGCGGTCTCTGATGAAGCAGTCTCTGATGAAGCGGTCTCTGATGAAGCAGTCTCTGATGAAGCGGTCTCTGATGAAGTGGTCTCTGATGCGGTGATCTCTGATGCGGTGGTCTCTGATGAGGTGGTCTCTGATGCGGTCTCTGACTTGTTGGATGCGTAGGGACCCAACGTTTTCTTTGTTGTTGCTTTTTTCACTTTAGAGTCGTAATAGAGAAAGTATATTTTCACATGATTATCAGAAAGTAACTGTATCTTTAATACTATTACTAACGTAATGCAGTTATTCAAAAAGAGTATCCTGATTACATAACAGCATTACATGTGTTCTGTTTCTCCCCCACACCGTTTGTATTAAAGTATAACCAATCAACATCATTCATTCTTCTGATGCAATGGCCATCATCAAACAGAACAAAACCTACCATCAGCTCTGGATGGGTCTGCAGTCTGGATGGGTCTGCAGTCTGGATGGGTCTGCAGTCTGGATGGGTCTGCATGGGTCTGCAGTCTGGATGGGTCTGCAGTCTGGATGGGTCTGCAGTCTGGATGTGGGTCTGCAGTCTGGATGGGTCTGCAGTCTGGATGGGTCTGCAGTCTGGATGGGTCTGCAGTCTGGATGGGTCTGCAGTCTGGATGGGTCTGCAGTCTGGATGTGGGTCTGCAGTCTGGATGGGTCTGCAGTCTGGATGGGTCTGCAGTCTGGATGGGTCTGCAGACTGGATGGGTCTGCAGACTGGATGGGTCTGCAGTCTGGATGTGGGTCTGCAGTCTGGATGGGTCTGCAGTCTGGATGGGTCTGCAGTCTGGATGGGTCTGCAGTCTGGATGGGTCTGCAGTCTGGATGGGTCTGCAGCTGGATGGGTCTGCAGTCTGGATGTGGGTCTGCAGTCTGGATGGGTCTGCAGTCTGGATGGGTCTGCAGTCTGGATGTGGGTCTGCAGTCTGGATGGGTCTGCAGTCTGGATGTGGGTCTGCAGTCTGGATGTGGGTCTGCAGTCTGGATGGGTCTGCAGTCTGGATGGGTCTGCAGTCTGGATGGGTCTGCAGTCTGGATGGGTCTGCAGTCTGGATGTGGGTCTGCAGTCTGGATGGGTCTGCAGTCTGGATGTGGGTCTGCAGTCTGGATGGGTCTGCAGTCTGGATGTGGGTCTGCAGTCTGGATGGGTCTGCAGTCTGGATGGGTCTGCAGTCTGGATGGGTCTGCAGTCTGGATGGGTCTGCAGTCTGGATGTGGGTCTGCAGTCTGGATGGGTCTGCAGTCTGGATGGGTCTGCAGTCTGGATGGGTCTGCAGTCTGGATGGGTCTGCAGTCTGGATGGGTCTGCAGTCTGGATGTGGGTCTGCAGTCTGGATGTGGGTCTGCAGTCTGGATGGGTCTGCAGTCTGGATGTGGGTCTGCAGTCTGGATGGGTCTGCAGACTGGATGGGTCTGGGTCTGCAGTCTGGATGGGTCTGCAGTCTGGATGGGTCTGCAGTCTGGATGGGTCTGCAGTCTGGATGGGTCTGCAGTCTGGATGGGTCTGCAGTCTGGATGGGTCTGCAGTCTGGATGGGTCTGCAGTCTGGATGGGTCTGCAGTCTGGATGGGTCTGCAGTCTGGATGGGTCTGCAGTCTGGATGGGTCTGCAGTCTGGATGTGGGTCTGCAGTCTGGATGGGTCTGCAGTCTGGATGGGTCTGCAGTCTGGATGTGGGTCTGCAGTCTGGATGGGTCTGCAGTCTGGATGTGGGTCTGCAGTCTGGATGGGTCTGCAGTCTGGATGGGTCTGCAGTCTGGATGGGTCTGCAGTCTGGATGGGTCTGCAGTCTGGATGGGTCTGCAGTCTGGATGGGTCTGCAGTCTGGATGGGTCTGCAGTCTGGATGTGGGTCTGCAGTCTGGATGGGTCTGCAGTCTGGATGTGGGTCTGCAGTCTGGATGGGTCTGCAGTCTGGATGGGTCTGCAGTCTGGATGTGGGTCTGCAGTCTGGATGGGTCTGCAGTCTGGATGGGTCTGCAGTCTGGATGTGGGTCTGCAGTCTGGATGGGTCTGCAGTCTGGATGGGTCTGCAGTCTGGATGTGGGTCTGCAGTCTGGATGTGGGTCTGCAGTCTGGATGGGTCTGCAGTCTGGATGGGTCTGCAGTCTGGATGTGGGTCTGCAGTCTGGATGGGTCTGCAGTCTGGATGGGTCTGCAGTCTGGATGGGTCTGCAGTCTGGATGGGTCTGCAGTCTGGATGGGTCTGCAGTCTGGATGGGTCTGCAGTCTGGATGGGTCTGCAGTCTGGATGGGTCTGCAGTCTGGATGGGTCTGCAGTCTGGATGGGTCTGCAGTCTGGATGGGTCTGCAGTCTGGATGGGTCTGCAGTCTGGATGGGTCTGCAGTCTGGATGGGTCTGCAGTCTGGATGGGTCTGCAGTCTGGATGTGGGTCTGCAGTCTGGATGGGTCTGCAGTCTGGATGGGTCTGCAGTCTGGATGGGTCTGCAGTCTGGATGGGTCTGCAGTCTGGATGGGTCTGCAGTCTGGATGGGTCTGCAGTCTGGATGGGTCTGCAGTCTGGATGGGTCTGCAGTCTGGATGGGTCTGCAGTCTGGATGGGTCTGCAGTCTGGATGGGTCTGCAGTCTGGATGGGTCTGCAGTCTGGATGGGTCTGCAGTCTGGATGGGTCTGCAGTCTGGATGGGTCTGCAGTCTGGATGGGTCTGCAGTCTGGATGGGTCTGCAGTCTGGATGGGTCTGGTCTGTCGCAGTCTGGATGGGTCTGCAGTCTGGATGGGTCTGCAGTCTGGATGTGGGTCTGCAGTCTGGATGGGTCTGCAGTCTGGATGGGTTGCAGTCTGGATGGGTCTGCAGTCTGGATGGGTCTGCAGTCTGGATGGGTCTGCAGTCTGGATGGGTCTGCAGTCTGGATGGGTCTGCAGTCTGGATGGGTCTGCAGTCTGGGCGTGTATCGTGCTGTAGAGGGTGCACAGAGACCAGGCCCCACGGTCCCAGGACGACTGTAGGATAGAAGTAGCAGCTGCCTCACTGACCCAGGCTGACCCGGGCTCTCCAGGGTCAGCTGGCACTAGTTTAATCAACACCTAAACCACAGCTGCTCAAAGGGCCTCTCCTGTCCCCAACTGCATCCATCCTGAGCCACGGTTATTCTCACAGACCGTACAGAAGCTTATTTTATCTTTTTTATTTGTTTTATCGTTTGTTACACAGAATTAAATGCAGTTAGTGACAGTTATTAACAACAAGTACAATCGGTGTGTCTTTGTTGTTGTTGCTTTTCCTACCCCCCTCCCCAGACCCCATAGTTCAGGTACTATGCCAGAGGGGATAGCACTCTCGAAGGTTATGGGTTCGACTCCAAGTGGGAACCGGGCCTTTCTGAGTGGAGTTTGCATGTTCTTCCCGTGTCAGCGTAGGTTTCCCCTCTACCATTAAAAAACATGAATAATAGATAAATTCCCCAACTCTGGTTGTCCTGATCAAGCTGGAGCTGGGTCCCTGGGCGCTGTACTCCGGCGACCACGGCCCCTGGCATTATGAGATGGGTCAAATGCAGAAGACAAAGTTCCTCACAGGGATAAATGTACTGCACAATTAATGTATTACTGTTGACTCAGGTACTTCTGAAATGTATATTTGCACTTCTTTGACTCCAGTACTTCTGAAATGCACACACGTGTTACTCTGAAGTGGAATATTTGTATTAATAATACAATAAAGGCGCTTATAAGTATATTTTACTTCTGCCTACTCCTTTTGAGCTGTATGGGTTAGGGTTAGGGTTTGCTCTGTATTGCTCTGACCTAAAATAAACGAGCTGAACTGATTTGAATAAAAAATATTCCACAAAGAGCGAAATTTGCAAAGTAAGAAAGAAACACGCCACACTTACCGACTGCTGAAGCGTGATCAGAGAAATCAAACCTGTTAATTGTAGGTTTGATGCTGTGAATACACAGTAAAATACAGCTGCTGTCAGAGGAGCAGGAGCAGACACAGGTTTGAAGATATAGAAAAAATAATCAAAAATAAACAGATCAATATAAAATAATGAATTCCATGCCAAGACATGAGTTCCCGTTCTCAGACTTGTTCTGTCTCATGTATGATCATGTCTTTCACTGCAATTCTCTGGTTCAGTAACAACAGTAAAAGACTGACACAATGGGTTCAAGAATCCACTCATATGTGTTTGATTTCTGACAACTTTCCTATTATAATGACTGGGACTGCTCCACGCTGGTGTCACCGTCTCTGTGTCTGTGTTCTCCAGGGACCTGTGCCGCTGCAAACCAAGGCTCTTTCACCACTGTTTGTTTGGACGTGTGAACGCAATTATGTCTATAAATATGTTGAAGATTTGTATTCCTCTTTTTACTCTTTCTTTGTCTCTCTCACCCTTTTGATTCTTTTGTGTGGGATCATGACTCCTCACTTGAAGAATGGTCATAATTTATATTTATTGATGGGCAAATCTAATTATTTTTATTTCAATCTGATACTGAGCAATAATTTGGCCGATATTGCTCTGACACACATACTCTTGTGTACAGTGAAAGGAAAACAAGAAAAGGCTGAAGAGCTAAAATGCTACATTTATTTCGTTTTTTGTACTACAGCAAAAAAAAAAGAGTCAGTATCTAATCATGTTGGAAATGTTGATAATACAATGGGCAATTTATTGATTCGTATTTGCTCATAGAGCATTCAACCCTGGATACATCTCCTTCCCCAGACATTTCCATAAGTCCCCACAATGGAAATGTGACCCAAGGCCACTTGAGGCACAACCTTTGTGTCCCTGGACCTCCTCCTGACTGTTTCTTTCTGTCTTTCTTAAATCAATTTTAGACCCAGTCTTTCCATTTTTAGCACAAGGTCCTTGTGATCTTTATCAGATTATGTGTAATTGTTAAATACTACATGTCTTGAGATGACCCTCGCATCCATGAGGTTGTTTTGTCGTGCATGTTTTCCTCGGGGCACGGTGGCAGAGTAGGCACGACTCACCCTTCACAGAAAGGAGGTTGTGGGTTTGATCCCGTGCCGAGACGGGTCTTTCTGTGTTTCTCGCCTCTTGTATCCTTATTTATTGATGTTCTTCTGTTCCTTTTATTTTTGCATTGTCCCAGTCCATTATGTGATGTTCTCTTGGTGGAGGTTGGATATTGCTGTTTGAGATTTTCCTGTTGCTTGTTTATTATTGGGACCTCTTTTTCACTGATGCAATAATAATACGTTTAGTTTATTAATCATAATTCACAGTCCTAAGCAGGACGTGATCAAATATTTTGGCGAGACCTAACAATAAAACATATCTACAAAACAAAACATGAATAACCAATTCCTTTATTTGGGCCTTGTAAATATGGGCCCTTTTATTGTTGACTGAGTTTACAGGGCTGGGTTTGGCACAGATGTTGAGAGGGTTACAAGCAGCAGCAGCAACAATGAAAACACAAAGTGCACAAGCGGATGGCGTGCATGGCGAGGGTTTTGAAGAAGTCATGGTTCAGCACCACGTCCAATTCCCAGAGCCAGTGTAATTACAGCCGTTCAGAACTTATCAGCGGCAGACATCAGCTTTTGGATCAGAGTGGAAAATGAGCTATGCAACGTCCAAGAGGAGCTGAACGGAGGACGGCCAGCTGATGTCGGATGAAGGATTATCAAGAGCACGTCTGACAGCGTGCTTCAAACAGAGGAGATAGGTAAAGCCTTGTGAATGAAAGCAGCCCTGGTTAGGCCCTTATCTAGCTCCATATGGGTCTGTTCAGTGTGTGATTCTGAGCCCAGGTCTGTCCAAACGCTACTACATGTTATTGTGCCTTCAAGAGATAGTGAAGGAGATTTGGGGATCGCACATGAACGGTCTTAACATGTCCTCAAGGAGATTCCTGATAAAAGTGCTCATGTAAATGTTGATATATTTAGTGTCCTTTGAGTGTATTGTGGAGTAAATGGCTACAACGCTACAAATGCATCTACGCAGATCCCAGTTTGATTTAGAGTTGGTGTGATTCACTTTGACTGGACTAGTTATCGTTCAACTTGGAGAAAGTGTGTGTTTTCCTCCGTCAGTAGTTTGTGTTACCACGGTTATCCCGCCCTCATAATGCTGTCAACACTCGGATCTGTGTTGGCAAAATACGTTTTTTTCATGGCGTGGATTTTGTTATTTTGTACTTTGGTTTTATTTTGACATTGTTCTCTGTGGTTTGGTTTTAGTTTGACTTCCTGTCTGTTCCCCTGTGTTGATTGTCTGCCCCGCCCTGATGTGTTTCACCTGTGTCTATATGTACCTGTGTGTCTGTGTCTATATGTACCTGTGTGTCTGTGTCTATATGTCTATGTACCTGTGTCTCTGTGTCTATATGTACCTGTGTCTCTGTGTCTATATGTCTATATGTACCTGTGTCTCTGTGTCTATATGTCTATATGTACCTGTGTGTCTGTGTCTATATGTACCTGTGTGTCTGTGTCTATATGTCTATATGTACCAGTGTCTCTGTGTCTATATGTCTATATGTACCTGTGTGTCTGTGTCTATATGTACCTGTGTGTCTGTGTCTATATGTACCTGTGTGTCTGTGTCTATATGTACCTGTGTGTCTGTGTCTATATGTACCTGTGTGTCTGTGTCTATATGTCTATGTACCTGTGTCTCTGTGTCTATATGTACCTGTGTCTCTGTGTCTATATGTACCTGTGTCTCTGTGTCTATATGTACCTGTGTCTCTGTGTCTATATGTACCTGTGTCTCTGTGTCTATATGTACCTGTCTCTGTGTCTATATGTACCTGTGTCTCTGTGTCTATATGTACCCGTGTCTGTGTCTATATGTACCTGTGTCTGTGTGTCTATATGTACCTGTGTCTGTGTCTATATTGTTGTATTTATAAATACGTGACATTCTAAAACCATGTGTTTTATGACCTAGCTAACCTCTAAGTGGGAGGCCAGTCCTTCTTATTTTATTTTAGGTGTCTTCTTGTGCCAGCAACTGGACAACAGATTCTCCTGTTTGGATTTCAACCCCCTAGTCTTGGCCTGCTGACTTCTGCACTTTTCAACCTCACTCCATCAGGAGTCTGGCAGACGGAGGAAAAGGCTGGACCCTAGACCGGAAGCTGGCTGATAGGACACTCCCCTCCTTCCTGTTCTTTATATATGCTCTGGCTTGGGGAGAAACAGAAGGATCAGACGAGGGCCAGAGAGGGACATATTAGTTTTAGGAGCACTCTTTTGTTGATTTCTGTATCTGATTGTAAAGATAATTAAATGCAGATGTTAACCTTTGAGAATCTTTTTGTCTGATTTCTGTATCAAATTGTGGACACGTCAGCCAAAGGGAATTATTGGCTTCATTTGGTGACCCGAGACGTGATTTGATACAGAAAGAAGACGCAAGATGAGCTCAGTTATAGAGACTGGATTTGTGGGTTTGGAAAAATCTCTCTGCTCTTCAAAAAGGTCGCTTCTAAGGTAAGCGGATCACAGTTTTGAAAATCTGCACATTGTTTTAAATAGAAGAGAGAGAGATTTTGGCTCGACAGATTGCAGTGTGGACGAGACCGCCGTGACGGGGCGTTCTATCGGACGCGATAGAACAATAGTCAGGTTTTTCGACGTTTTTAGCCTTGGGGGAATAATTGGTCCCTCCTAAAATAAAACAGAACATAGATGATGAAAAAGGGAAGTCCACCGTTTAGAGTGCAAAAGAGGCACACCTTCGTGCAGAGAGGCACAAGGGAATTAGTGAAAAAGTAGGAATAGAATTAGAGAAATAGGGACAGTTAGGGTCAGAAGTTATAGGAAAAAGGGTACATTTAAACAGAAAAAAGCCAAGTATTTAAAATGTGGATTCTGATAATAATGATCTGATTAATGAGAAAAAAGGGAGCCACTTGGCTGTAACTATGAGTTTTCATGTGAAGAAATGACAAAAGATCAGTCTGGGAGTTTTTCTCTTGTATTGTGATGTAATGTTTCAATAGTTACAGAGGTATTACGAAAAAAAAAGATCCGTCTGTACCTAGTGATGCATTGGTCATGTAAGCAAATTGTAATGTTTTCCATTACTGACGTATTTAAGGATAAAATGTAAAGTGTCGTTTGACGTGAGAAAAACT